TATAAATGAAGAAGAAAATACAGGAAGTGCCATTTATTTTTAAATAATTTAACTAACTCTGTCACAGTAACCTGATTAACTTCATTCAAAGCAAAATATTTTATCAGAATGGCTACCCGTGTTAAAAAAGAAAAAGAAAGGTACAAAGTAATTGACTACCACAAACTTTTTTCTTCTTCATTTAAAACAGTAAACAAACGTCACCCAAAAGACGTATTTAAGAACGAACTTTACTGAGAGCTACATATAAATGCTAAAAATGATTACGATTGCTCTCAGAGTATGCCGTTTTTATAGAGATAACAAACCTTTCCGAACTTATTGACCGTGAATTGTCGTACATATAAACGAAGCACTATACATTTTCGTACATAGGTTAATGATAAACTGTTATCGTTCTTTTTAAAAAAGAAAGAAAAGGAAAAGACATTATCATTCGTTTCATAGTGTTGAGTAACATGCCTCTGAAGAAAAAAATACTTGGTTTCGTACGAACAATACAAACCAATCATCTTTGAAGATTCAGAATGCACTGTTAATGAATACTCGCAAGTCCTTGGAAATGCGAAAAGGATAGTCAGTATGGAGTTTACCTTTGCTTGTAAATTAAAATAGGACACACACCAGGAATGAATTTGGGCTTGTCCAGAGATCGATAGGGGGTCGTGATTAGCTAATTGAGACACGAGGAGATACCGGGGTGACTTACGGACGAAGGAAAAATCTGCTGGGCAGTGCCGGCACGGAATTTATATTTTTAGAGGGCACCTGGGTCGGCTGCAGTCGTCTCTGCTCCGTCGAACTGCAGTCCCGCAGTATAGCACCGTTACGTAGAGATTTTGCGCATTTGAGTACACGATAAACGTAGCCGACGATATACTATCACTGTTCAGAAGAAATAATATCGGCAGTGTCAAGAATATGCCGCTGATTTAAATGCTATTATGTCGAGCGGGTGCGGCGCGCTCTTCTCAGCATGGCCGCCGCCATTACATTGAGAGCACGGCCATTCCAGGACCGTAACAAGCAGGGGCCTCCCGATAGCCCCGTTCAGTATGCTTTGTCAATCTATGCTGACTAAAGTACATTTAATCTTCAACAGCTACAATGTGGAATGAATACGATACCTAAGTTTCGTGTGAAAATTTTTCTAAAAAATATTTTAAGTAATGAAGTAAACAATAATACAAATTCTATATGTTTTTTATACGTTGAATGAAAAAAATAAATTCAATTCAAATATAAAATAATGATATTTTTTCAATTTTTCATTTATACAAATGTTTGTATAATTTGTATAAACGTTTTTTATATCTTAAAATATGTTTAAAATGTATATTGCTTTATATTTTATTTATTATTTAAG